AACCTTACAATATTTCTATTATAACTACCATGATCAGTGTTAAATTCTCTATTGAATTGATATATCACATATCCATATTTATTATGAAAAATATTCCCGATAAAAGTGGTCACTGCGGCCGAACCCGAGGTCACAGGACAATATAAATGACATATTCGGAATCAGCATTGAATGGGCTTTCATTTCCAATCAACAAATCAAAAATGCCAGCTTAGGAAACTCATAATGCTTTTATGACAGTATCCTTAATTTTATAATTATTTACACGAATACTTAAGTAAAGACGGTTTGAATGTACCCAGTTTACCCGTATACACCAGTTCAATTGAATTGAATTGAACTTTAAGCACAGGTAGCTTTACAGGTATGCCTATAGAAAGTGAGGCACATGTATATTTGTAGACGTATTTACAAATGGTCATGTGTAAGGTTGAACCAGGGAAATATTATAATATTAATTTTTCTAATAGTTATAAATTTTATTTTATAATATAAACTAATATATATGTAAACCAGAAAATACACGTCAACTTTTAATACTTTAAAAATTTTGATCAGTAATTAGTGTTGCCAACTCTACACAATATAAAACTGAAGAATTGAATAAAACTAAACCCGTTTTCCTGGAGATTCCTGAAGAAATTTTTTATTCATTTATTTCTTATGAAACGATATTTTTGTTGTGATTTTTCAGCATTAATACATAATTCGTTGTTTTTTATGAAGTTTTTAAAATCAATACAATTAAGAGAAAAGTTATATTTGACACAAATTTCTGTTTTAATTAATCTAATGTTCATTCGGTTCCGTTCATCTGTCCAAACCTTCTTAAGTCCCGAGAATACTCGTTCACAAAAATCATTTCCTACAGGTATAGCCATCACTGTTTCCACGACTTTTGTCAAATTCTTGGATTCAAACGCAGATAATATTTTGCAATATTTAGTAATAGTGTCCAAATTGTGTTGATATTTATTCATTTCTATAAAAAATGAATTGAATGAATGTATTTCATCGAATAGTAAATCTTTGTCTATTTTAACATCCAATAGATGGCTAATTGCCACAACATTCTCATAATTCAATTCAGAGTCCAAATTTAATTTAGAAAATAATTTAAATGGCGAGTCATTCAAATCAAAGTATTTGTTTAGGTAGTCAATTGCTTTCGTATAAGCAATTTCTGCATAATTAAAAAACTCATTTCGTTCGACTAATGAAAATTTGTTAATATTCTCATTAACTTTAGAGCCAAAAAATTTAAGTTTCAATCTGTTTTCCAATTGAGAGTTGAGTTTAAACATAATGTCATAAAGATTTGTGGCATTTGTTGTCTTCATTTCCAAAGTTTTAATACTTGTGTGAAATATTTGCATCAAATATAATTCAAATATAGTCATATTTTCTGGAGCATTACTCCAAACAAATTGTTGAATAATAGGCGGACAGTCTTCAGTACCTATACCAACAAAATATGTCTTAAGAGGAATAATATTGTCAATAATTCGCGTGATTGCAGGCAATAGTGTGAGCCATCGTGTAGTTACGTGTTTAATGAGAGATTGAAATTCATTATCTGTGTATTCATAACATGTCTTGAGTTCAGCGATTCGTTTAGCAGAGACAGAGAAATCCGAGTAAACTTTGAGAACAAAGTTTTCGACATCGAATGGCAGTGTTATTAATGACTGTTTGATTGTATTGTGTAATACATAGCAATTGCAATTCGCTTTAATTATATATTTATTATCATTTGTAAAATTTTTATAGACTGAGTGAAGAATACCGTAATTCACGGAAGCGTTATCACCGAAGTATGCAATCAAATTCTTGTAATCAATTTCATTTGAATGCAGTGCTGACATTAGTTTTGTGTGAATATTATCTGACTTTTCATTCGAGTCTTCATAGAAATCGAGAACAAAATTATTAATACCTGAGATAATATCAAAGTATTTATTGCAATAGGAAATAACTACATTTCCCTTATTTGAGGCGTCACTCGCTATTGAAAACTTTTTTCCCATTTATCGTAATTATACAGAGAGATATCTGTAGCCTGTGTTGTGTAAAAGCCGGTTTCGGAGGTTAAATCAAGCCGGCGTGAAATCAGGTTGTGTCTGAAAACTTAGCGGTTTGTTAAGAAAGTAATTTTTGATCCCACAATCGGTTGAATTATAGCTTAAGTGATGGTTAATGGTGTGAAACGTTAGACACAGTTCACTGATTGTCACTTCTTCGGCAGGCTTTTTGTTGATTTTTGGCGCAAATAATGTCATACTCTGGCACATCTTCACTGCACTCTCATTAGTTTTGTGTCGCTTTGAATCTTTGTGTCCGTTCACGGCTTTGATGCGAAGTATAACATAACATTTAAGTCAAAATGTTATTAACGTTAAACGACATTTGAGTAGGAAAAAATGATTGGTCAGGAACTTAAGTAACAAAAGATTGGTTTATAGAACTTTAAATCGGTGTTTAGACTTTTTCTTAGTCTCTGAACTCATTATTCATTAATTAGTAAAACATTAGTTAACAACAAATAATTTAATCAATATTTTTAAGACACGTTTTGTTGTTTAATTTAAATGTTTTTCATTACACTATAAATTGAGGATTTCATTGACATTTTGTTTCATATTATGTGCTTTTTTTGTTTACAATTATCTACAAAATATTTCATTAAACAGATCATACACTGAAATCATAGTATTTTAGGCATTTATTAACCCTTATGTTAGGCATAAACTTCAACAATAAAAATTAATTACAGTATTTGACAACTCATTGAAATATTTTTTTGCAAATAAAATTCCTGGAGAACCCCATATCCAGGTCAGACCTCAACCTGAAGTATGGGCCAAAGGCCCTATACCTGGAGACTTCAGCCGACAACTGGAGGGTTGGCAACACTATCAGTAATTGTAATAATAAATGAACACCCAGTAGTAATACACCTTGTATAAACTTTCATTCATTGAATTTAATTGCTAATAATTGAATAGTAATTTCATTGTTAATAGTGTACATATAAACACCGCATCAAAAATATTACTTAAATTATTTATTATAAATAGTTTTATTTGAAAGCTACAGTTTTAGTTTAAATGATTATAATATAATACTGCGCTTTACTATATGAGATTAAATCAGCGTAACCAATGGTTTTCTATTGACATCATCAATGACATTTCAGTTAATGATATCAAAATATTTTTTGTATGTAAACACTAATCAAAAGTTTCAATTAAATGTTAAAGTATTAAACTGACGCTATTATTAGAAATTAATTATTGATTTTAAAAAATTATATTTAATATACTAGGTCACATTTTATGAATCTGAAATGTCATATACTAGATATAAAGTTCCCACAGCGCCTACATATCATAGCAAACGTTATAAGAAATATAAAATATGCAACAAAATAACGCATACTATTAAACAAAAAATGGCACTATTTCACGTGTTTGACGATTACAAAGGTGATAAAAATATACTTTTTGTAACAAATGATGATATGGTGTACGGTTTGGGTATTAATTCGTACGGATGTCTGGGTTTAGGGCATAATATTGTTGTGAATTCGCCGCAAATAATACCCGAATTGTGTCGCAAACGCGTTCAACACTTCTATATCGGCGGCGACTTTGTGTTGGCTATGAGTGCCTCAAACTGTATATACAGTTGGGGTCACAATAGTATGCGTCAGTTGGCTAGAGATGTGACACCGGAATACATTTATTTGAAACCTCAGACAATATCACTGTTTGACAATAAGACTATCACTGAAATCAGTTGTGGTTATTATCACAGTCTGGCCCTCACATCGGATGGGCAGGTGTACGGGTGGGGCCGTAATAGTGAGGGACAGGTAGGTTTCGAGATAGGTGCTGACTTTATTTATGAAAGTGAACCAATTTTATTGACATTTAATAATAATCATAAAATAAAAGCTATTGAATGCGGAAAACATTCATCATTTGCTATCACCACCGATGGATACGTATATTGTTGCGGCACTTTTACTGGATACATAAATGGGCGTTTTGTAACAAGGGCAATTAATAATCCAGAGCTACTACCAGAGTTAAAAGGTGTTAAAGCAATAGGAATTTGTGGTAACTTTGATACCACTGGTGAAATTAAAACTTATTTGGAAAAGCTATACTTTGTGAATGATTCGGGTACATTATATTTATGTGATTTATTGGCAAATGAGCAAGGTTCATTTTTTAAACGTTCAATCCTTAAGAGAATTAAATGCGACACAAAGTTTGTGAATGTGCATGGTAGTTATTTTTCGTTAAGAAATAAGTTTTTAACACTTTCATCAAGCACAAAATTATTTAAATTAGAACCTATTAGCATTTTAACTGAACTAGGTGACATGGATCTTGTAGATTACTATGAAACAAACCATCAGATAACTTATGAGTCTATAAATTTAAAATATAATTATTACAATGATACTTATAAGCAATTGACACAAATTGGTTCAGGTGCTTTTGGATGTGTATTTCAAACGCAAAATAAAAAAAATGGATTATTATATGCTATAAAGATTATAAAGTTTAAAGGTATATAATTGTAATTAGCAAAATATAAATTAGTGTAATATTATTTTTACAATTTTTAGATTTTAGTGACTCAGAAATTTCAAACCTATTCAATGAAACCAATAACTTGTCAAAAGTGGACTCAAAATATTGTGTCAAATATTACGATTCATGGCTTGAATGTGATTCATATTACATACAAATGGAGTTGTGTTCCAATAGTCTGAAGAATATTCTTCAACACAAACCACAAGAATTTGAACGACAATCAGGAGAACCCATGAATTCATACGAATATTTGATTTCGTGTGAAATATTCCGAGAGATCTTAGAATGTGTTCAGTATTTGCATGAATTGAATCCACAGATCATTCACAGAGATCTTAAACCCGACAATATATTGATCGATAGGGAGGGGCGTAACGGTAGATTTCTAAAGTTATGTGATTTTGGTTTAGCTACTGTTCACGACAAAAGTATTCACAAACTTACCGAAAATAAACACACATCAGGTGTGGGAACCCTTGGATTTATTGCCCCAGAAGTCCTTACGAGTAAACCATATGATCATAAATCGGATGTTTATAGTCTGGCTGAAATTGGCCAAAAGTTATTTGATTTGGACTTGTCCAGATTAGACCAGCATCAGTAAATAAAATTAATATGCCTATTATAAAATACCGAATAATTATTTATAATAATTTTTATTTCTTTAGGTCGCAACTCTACTCAAAGACATGTCCTAATTTGAACGAGCCGGTAGCTAATATGAAAACTATATTGCTATCAATGCTAACATACCCTCAATGGTCTAAAAGGCCTGAATGTGTGGAAGTGTTGTCCAAATATAGCGAGTGGTCTATCGATAGGAATATTATCGAAAATGATCCTACATTTGATTCTACATATCAAAGGTTTTCATCGAAAGGTAATTCTTTTTACTTGAAATATTTTATATACAAGAAAATTATTATTGATTGAATATAATAGGTACCCTATTATTAAACAATTTAAGTTACTTAAATCTAGAAATCAATATTTACATGTTACATAATATATATACTATATCATTATGAAAAAATCTAAACGACTAATAAATTTATTAAACTATAAGGTACCAATATAAATACTAAAATAATGATAATACTTTGTTATTTCACACGCTAAAGTATTTAAAATGTCTTATTTTAATAATGTTTTATTTTACACGATTATTTATTTAGATTATCTTTTCATGATGGAAGTTTATTTAAGATTAAAATTAAAAACTAAATTGAATTGAGCACGTTTATAAATAAATAAACTGATAATGTTAAAGAGTATTATCTATTATAAATAAAATATTATTATTTACATTAAGAAATATGACCAAACTTAATAGTTAATCAATAAGTTTTGTTGTTGTAAATTTTATCATTACTTTGCCATTAACCTTTTTCAGTATTATTTGCATATAATAAAAATGTATATTTATAGTTTTATATAGTTTACATTGTAAACAAAACAATCATTTACAAATTATGAAACTATTTTAATGTTGAAACATAGGTCAATATGTCATAATTATTATAAATGCATTAAAAATATTGTAATAATGTAATATTGTAATATTATTTATAAAACTACGTTATATATACTGTATATTGTAGTTTAATCGTAATGTGAATGTGTAATCATCTCATAATAAAATAAAAATATCATAGTCTTAAAAAATAGTTTGTAATAATTATTTTAAATTTTCTATTTTATATATTTAAATTTTAAAATAATTATGAAATTAATATCATTACAAACCTTATATACTGTGGTGTCGTATTTATTATGTTTAATGGGATGTATGTATCAAACGTATAAAATAAGTGAACTATACTTCGGATACCAAACCACTACTGATGTCCGATACGAGTCATGGGACGACCCGTTAACACACCCGGCGTACACTATATGTACGAATAAATTGTCACAAATTAAATCAGAGTTTATAAAAATCAATTCTAAATCAAAAAGAATTAAACAAAATTTTAATAAATTACCAATTAACCAACAATTTGATAACCTAGTACAATTAAATGAGTATTACGGCTGTACTATTGAAGGACCTAATCACATTGATCTATATTGTTTTACTGGTAATAAATATAAGCATTCCATTGGTGGTCATGATCGTTGTTTTACCTTATACCCTTTTCGATCAATAAATGGATTTGGAAAAACTAAGCTTGGTAATAGAGTAATAGTGTTGTCTATTAGAGATAATAATAAAACGAGCAAGGCCCTCGATTTGTATTTACATTCTCAAGCACAATTATTAAATTTACAACCAGATTTATTTGGTAGAAATTCTTACCATGCTCATAAAATTTTTTTTGTACGTATCTCAACATTTACTACGATAGGTTTCAAGCAAACAATAATAATAAATAATTGTCCTAGATCTACAAAATATTGTATTGAAAATGAGCTTGTTTCAAGTGAATGCTTTGTTGAGTGTAATCATAAATATAAACAACTTGAAATACTGTACAGGACAAATTTAATTTACGAACATTTATTTAACAAGTATTATGATATGTTAAAAACATATAACCAGACCAATGATAATGTTGCTCAAATATGTCAGCAAAAATGTTGTAATAGATATAAATATATTAAACATTATTATTCAATTGATGAGCCAATCATTAAAAATATGTCCAGGGTTATGACCAGGGTTTATCGTCTGAATATAGCGTTACCGACATATCCAACAATTATTTACGAAATATCATTAAAAATGTCTTTCGAGGAGTACTTGAGTCTAACGGCGAGTATTATAAGCCTATGGTTTGGCTTCTCTATCGTTATGTTCACAGAAATCATGCAAAAAATATTTAATAAAATTAAATTTCAAAAATATATTAATTATATTTATCTAAAATTGCCTTGCAATTATAATCAGAATAATATTAACATAAACCTTAAACAGTTCGTATATAATAAAATTCGTAGTCAGTGCAATAAAATTAATACAAATTGATATAATTTTAGTTAACTTTAATATTTACAAGTAAACTTTTTATTTTAATAATTATTTAAATAATGTGTTTATATCGTAATTAATTTATTTAAATTACTTATAATTGTATTATTTGTAAACATAGTTTAACTGGGTTTAGTAATTTATTTAAATTTTCTATTTAGCTTATTATTTACTATGTATTTAGCTTGTTAATATTTTATAGAATAAATAACAATGTAAATTTTATAAACAATTAAAAATAATTACATATAATTATAAAATAAAATTACAATATATAATTAATATGATTACAATATAAATATAAATTAAATATAATGTCCAGGTACACTTTGATTAAACTGAGCCCTCTCATCCACATCATTTGACACAGCAGCGTGATCATATTCATTATTATCAAAATGTACACTGGTCATCCTATTACCAATAGGCCTGATAACTGCTTTAAATTTATCAATGGATGTACTAAACTGTTCGCCACTATGTATGTGTTCGTTGACCAATCGGGAGGGCGTATGGGCTAACCATACAGCCAATGAAACGTCTTCGTAATAGTTAGTGGACTTGTGGAGATCTTTATCCTGCAGGCTTAGCGGCCACAAAAGTTATATTACACCCTGTAGGAAGAGCTATATGGGGTGCAGAGGGAGAACTTTCAGATAACAGGCCCGTAATGGATGAGGTCACTTAACGCCTATTCGGGCATTACCTTGATATAAATGGCATGGGTTATTAATTAATTTTAACTCGTTTATTGTGGCTTTTTAAAATTAATTAATGCTTTCTGTAACCATGGCATAAAATGCTTTTTTAAATANCTACTCCAGTGAATACGCCTATTCGGGCATTACCTTGATATAAATGGCATGGGTTATTAATTAATTTTAACTCGTTTATTGTGGCTTTTTAAAATTAATTAATGCTTTCTGTAACCATGGCATAAAATGCTTTTTTAAATAGTTTTTAAATAATTTTTAAATTTTTATGCATGCTGTTCAATAAAATTTTAATATTGGGCATAAAACTTAAAAATATAAGTGAAGACATTAAATTATTAAACATAATGTTCCAACCTTTTATTATATAGGTCCATTCATCCCCTAATGGGTGCCAATGTATTTCCCGTAGTCCACCAGGTTTTAAGGTTACAATGGCCGCGGAGGTAGTTGTAACTGGGAAGTTATTTTTATCAATAATTTTAACTTCACCACCTAATCGAGTTACGTTCGGGAACATTTGTGATGCAAAAAATGCGTACGATTCCGGCACAAATCCGGTACCCTGGGCAGCCTGGCGTTGTTCCACCTCCAAAGGTCGGGGTAAATCCGAAGCAAATATGTACAGTTCATTTTGAGGTAAATTTGCGAATGTCGATTTAGGTACGTCAAAGTTTTTAGCAAGCACATCTAGTGGAATGTGTTTTAATAAATCTGTCTCGTCTTAACACAGCATAACTAATTTTAACGGTAGCAGTTTGTGCTCATTAAAAAAGCAACCCTCATCACCGATACCTAGATAATATATTAATTTTTGAAAATTATTTTTAATAAATAATTCTTACGTATTATTTTTGCATAATTGATTTAGACTTTTAAAATAAGCCAGTATTTACCTAGTACACATCTGATATACAAAATTTGTATTTCGACACTGCTTAACTGTAGTACTGTAGAATTTAACACATAACAGTCATAGTAAAGCAGTATATAAACACTTATTTTGAAAAATCTTAATATATTTTTAATAATTTAACGAGTACCATACTGTGCTAAAAGTGCTAACTAGTGTTGAGACTAATTAATGTATGTCTCACAGCACTAGTTTTTAATTTCTCAATTAGTAATTGGAAAAAACTCTAAAGTTTATAATGAAAATAAATTAAAACTAGTGTTGTGTGAGACATACATTAATTAGTCAAAGTGTCCCAACATTAGTTAGCACTCTTAACACACATTGGCACTCTTAACTTTAATATATAAATTTTTAACCATTTCAAAAATATTTACATACCTTGGAGAGAATGAGGTATCCCACCTGGGAATAGCCATAAGTCCGACTCACTGACATCCTCGACAAATGCCCGGCCCTGTTGGTCTACTGCCGTAATACGACATGTGCCCGATATGACATACGCCCACTCCGATGTTATGTGCCAATGCAACTCCCTTACCCCACCACTGATAAGTCTCATTTGTACTCCGGATAGTTGTTTGGCTATTGGTAACTCACGTGCACTCACCTATAAATATATTTATATAATAATAATAATATTTATTTGGAATATTTGATGTTATTTAAAATTATTTTCATATTATTATAAAAATGCAAAAACATAGTATACAGTTGTATTTAAGCAGGGTTCATGTATGAGTTTTGTATATTTACTATATTAATATAATATTAATATATTGTATATTAAAACTTACCTCGCGCGTCCAACCCCCCGAATAATGGACTACTTTGGCAAATGAGAAAGGATATTTGAATGTCTGCACTGAACCCGAATCTGTACTTGGTCCATTAATGGTTGATGGATTCTGGCTATCTAGTACCTTGTTAAAATACTCGGATGATTTTACATTTTTGCATAGACAGTATAGCAAACATGATATAATTATAAATATACTAGAATACATCCTGATGAATTCAGTACCAAATAAACAATCATAACAGATTTAATTTTTAAAATATAAAGTTTTTAATAAATGTAATTGCATAGACAGTATAGCAAACATGATATAAATATAAATATACTAGAATACATCCTGATGAATTCAGTACCAAATAAACAATCATAACAGATTTAATTTTTAAAATATAAAGTTTTTAATAAATGTATTTTAAGTTTATACACTAATATTTTCTAATAACTTTGTGCTAATGTAATAAAAAGTTCCCTGAACTTTAGATTAATGTAATTATTGATATTAGTAAAAAACATATAAGCTATGTATTATTTGTGGAATAAGTTAATAATTATTTATTATCCCAATTTGTTACATATTTAGAAAAAATTTGTAATTAAAAAATGATTAATAAACTTTTTTATAAGTTAGCTAGTACTTAAAATGTAATAATCCAGGTGTATATTAAAACTGTTAAAAGTATCATAAGATAGAAATAGAAACTAAAAAACTGTTTAATCTAAAAATAATTATAAACTTAAGAATACTTAACACTATTAACTCGTATGCCTTTGGGTCCCAACTCAGTGGCCATACATTTGGTGAACATATCAAACCCCGATCTCGCCATACAATAAGCCGACTCTTTCGGACTCAATTCATAAAATAGATATTAATTGAAGCATGGTCAATATAGGTCAACATTACAACTACTATACAGGTCAAGTGCTTCTAATGCTCGATATGTTGATGATAGTGCCCCGGGTCTTCTCCAAATGGTCCACACATATGCTGGTCATGAATACCATGTCCACCAGGTTTGTTTGCATAACCCTCTATTTATGGCTAAATACAAGAGGTTTATGCAAACAAACCTGGAGGCCATAGTAATGATGGGTCGCCAATGGGGTTGTGCTCGGGATAGATGGGACAGTTGACCAAAATGTCGATTCGACCGAAAGTGCTGATAGTCTTGTCGACCAGTTTTCGCATGTCTTCCTCCCGGGTGGGGTCGGCCGCTATTTCGAACACACGAGCGCCAGTATTGCGGCACTCATTGGCTACAGTCGTGAGTTGACTGTCGGCATACTGTCCGCTCACCACAACACTGGCGCCCGATTTGGCGAACTGTATGGCCGTAGACACAGCCAGACCCGTGTTGGCAGCGGTCACCAGGGCCACTTTGCCACTGAAATCGTACGAGACGGACATTATTTTATTAAATTAGTAGTGATATGTGTAATATAAATGCTTGTTTAAAATGTCTGTGTTACTAAAACTAGCATATTTATATATATACTGTAGATATGCTAGCTGCATTCAGTGGGTGTGATCATAGAGATTACAGTAAACATGTTTTTTAATAAGCAAAAGCTTGGAATGATATGACTTTAATTATGGTGATATCAGCAATAATATGTGATCCGGGTTTTTATTGTTTAACAAGGCTTTTAAAATGTTAAACCCATGGCGCACGTTGATTACTAATCAAAATTTAAAAATAAACAAGGTTTGATAGGCAATTCGATACCTAAAACACGATTCTAAGATATGTAACAAAGGAGATGTCACAAGGTATTTTATTTTAATCAAGTTTCCTAAGATTGATGTAGCACATTGAATGAACGACAAATATGAAAATAATTTTAATAATATAAGTATGGTTGTAAAATAATTTAATTTATATAAACATTGTATATGCATTAATTATTGTAAAACGGCTTGAAATTAATTGAATGTATCTAACCCTATCATATGCCCATTTCCATAGGATTAGCATGGAGCTTTTGGATCTAATACGCTAATTTTTTTCATAAGGCGTGATTCATATATTACGTTAACACTTGGGAAAGAGGGTGTCGGCTAAAGAAAACTAAGGGAGAGGGGGGTGAACGTTGAGACAATAGAAACGTTCACATTTAAATTATTAATTTTTATCATAGTAACAATATATAAATGATTTTGAAATATTATAGATTTAAATCCTGTTTAGGAAATTATTTTGAAAGTGAAAAAAATCCGTATAAACTGTAAATCATTAAGTATTTCATACAGTGTTATATTGTTTTAATAAAAAATGTTTGTCACTAAAATATTTTTCTTTTCACATCTACACTTTATTTGCAATTTAGCAGTCCAATTAAATTAAGTTATAGTAGCTTGTAAATAATTTAAAATTTTTAAAATTATTTAGCACATAGCATACATTATTTAGACATTTTGGTAAAATCAGTAATAATCTTACTTGTTAAGTACTGAAAAATATATTTATTAAAAGTGAAGTGCTTGTATTCATGTGGTAATGGGCCTAATAGTGGCTGTCGTGTCATGTTCATGAAAAAGATAAATTCGAAAACATTGTTAAACAATAAAAACCCGGATCACATAATATTGCTGATATCACCACAATAATATTACCGTATATGAATATATAAACATGCTAGTCTGAGTAGCAAATAAACATTTTTAAACAAGCATTTATATTACACATACCACTAATAAGTTAATAAAAATGTCCGTTTCGTATGATTTCAGTGGCAAAGTGGCCCTGGTGACCGGTGCCAACACAGGTCTGGCTGTGTCTACGGCCATACAGTTTGCCAAATCGGGCGCCAGTGTTGTGGTGAGCGGACAGTATGCCGACAGTCGACTCACTACCGTAGCCAATGAATGCCGCAATACTGGCGCTCGTGTGTTGGAAATGGCGGCCGACCCCACCCGGGAGGAAGACATGCAAAAACTGGTCGACAACACTATGAAGACTTTCGGCCGAATCGACATTTTGGTCAACTGTCCCGTCCATCACGAAAACGCCGCCATTAATGACACATCATATATGGCCAAGTGAACAAACCTGGAGGCCATGGTGTTTATGACCAGCATATGCGTGGAGCACCTGGAGAAGACCCGGGGCGTCATCATCAACATGTCCAGCATTAGAAGCGCTCGAGCTGTACAGTAGATTTAATGTTGACCTATATTGACCATGCTTCAATTAATATCTATTTTATGAATAGAGTCCGAAAGAGTCGGCTTATTGTATGGCAAAGTCGGCGATTGATATGTTCACCAAATGTATGGCCACTGAGTTGGGACCCAAAGGCATACGAGTTAATAGTGTTAAGTATGTT